AAATTGTTTAATGAAAGTTCATACCCACAACTGTTGTTGAACCTAGAGGTGCTACAACTGAAGCAGGAGCAAAGCCATAGGCAGTGAAATTGAAAAGTTCTCCAAAGCCCATTAGGGCTAACCCTAACCACCACAGTGGTTCATTGGTATAATGCTTTTGTGTCTGAGACTCTCTAGCTGCATTTCTGAGATGAACATATTTCTGCAGATGAAAACATCAACAGTGATTAAAAAATTACATTTTAAAAATGTGTTTAAATAAATTTAAGGTAACTTGTGAGATGTTCTGTAAAATAATAATGTGAAGGCAAAAGTGTATGGAGCGGGCATGCACAAATTCAATACTGGTACTGACAAATATGACATAATTTCATTTCAACATACTTTTTAAGGGGATTTTATGAATTTGAGGTAGACTCTTAGCATATAGGCTACATATTAATAAGACATTGATTAATTTGTTTTTTAACTTTCATTTAAATATTCAAGTTTGTATCAATGGTAAAGTCAGAAATTCACCTGTAAATTCAGGGAGACACTAATATTGATATTTCCAAAAACGGCTAAGCAGCACCCCACAAGCAAATTCTGAAATACAAGTATAAAAAAAATCAATGAAATCAGTGAGGATTTAAAATTAAATACTCTTCCCTTTTCCATTAACTTGAACTGCAATTATTGTGTTAGTGGCAGATTCGGAAATAATATTTCCCCATGACAAGGCAGCTGTTCATCTACCTCACCCCTTTTTTTTCCCTCTCCAAATCTTTTATGGTTAACAGTGAAAACTTTGAAAAGCTAACACTGAAAATAGCACTATGACTGAAAGATGGGCTAAATCACAACTGACCTTATCAAGACACCAAAGAAAGGTGATCTCAGCAGCTGTGCAAACTAGAGAGGAATTATTACTGCTGGCAGTACCAGGAAAGAACTTCAACAGAATTATTCTGGATAGCATGAAGGACCAGTTCAACACTCAGCTGTGAGATCAACAACCTGGAGTCCGTCAAAACATATCATGCACATACCGAATTGCAACACTACACATCATTGTAGAACATTCTATCGCATGGAACTCCCCCCACATCTACATTTCATCTACTATGAAAAGGCCTTTGAGAGCCTGAAACGACAAACCTTGTGGAAACTTCTCGTGCATTATGGGGTACCAGGAAAACAAGTCAGGATCATTTGGAGTCATGAAGAAATGACATGCAGGGTAGTACATGAAAGTAGACTCACGCATGCCTTTTAAGGGGAAACAGAAGTCAGACAAGGATATTGATTATCCCGCTTCCTATTCATCATTGCCATTGACTGAATATAAAAAGAATCCACAGACAAAAAGAGGAACGGGTTACAGTGGACACCCCGGGAACCAATGAATGACCTAGAATGTGCAGATGACATTACACTTCTGTCGTACAACCAGCAACAAATGCAGGAAAAAACAAAAGATGTAGCCACCTTTTCAGCACAGCTCGGAATCAGTATAAAAAAAAGCAAGACAAAGATCATGAAGGTAAATTCAGCTGACCAAGAACATTGCTCTTTGGCAGAAAATGCACTGGAAGAGGTGGAGACCTTCACATACTAGTCAGCACCATTGACATAAATTGTGGATCCAAAGCTAATGTCAGGGCTAGAATTAGAAAAGCGAGGACAGCATTTGTGCTATTACTATTAAAGAAAATATGGAGCCTGAGGAGCTGACTCTGCAAACCAAAGTCAGAATTTTCAGCTCAAATGTCAAAACTGTCCTAATTTATGGAGTCGAAACTTGAAGACCAACAGCAAGCATCATGCATAAAGTAGAGATTTTCACAAACACTTGCCTTAGAAAGATCTTGAACATAAAATGGCCAAACATCATCACCAACAAAGACTTACTGGAAAGGACATACCAGGAGCATATTGCTGAAAACATCATAAGGAAAAGATGGAGGTGGATAGGGCACACTCTTTATAAAACACCAGATAACCCCTAACATGGAATCAAAAGGGAAGAGGGAAGAGAGGAAGGTCAAAGAATATTCTGAGATGTGAGCTCGAGGCAGACACACAAAGAATGGGATACACCTGAAAGCAACTGGAAAGGAAAGCACAAGACAGAGATGAAGGGAAAATTCTTGTAGATGGCCTATGCCACAAGCAAGGTAAAAGGCATAAATAAATAGAAGGTTTTTTCAAATTTAATTTTGCACCAGTACGGTTAACATTTTTTTTGTAAATGCTTGCAGGTTTTGGAAACAAATTGGCCAGCAGCACATGAATTGAAGACACTTTAATGCTCTTTGTACTTCTCCTGGAATAATTTGTCTGAGGACCATCATAACTTCTATTTAATCCAATCTATCCATCCCATGATTTACGTCTCAACTCCATGTCCAAATCTGCATAGTTTTTGCTCAAATTATCCAGAGTCAGTGTACGAAGTTGCTGAATATTAAATAGGATGCCAAAAATGTCAAGGTACAATTGCTGTCGCTTGAAATGTTTCTTCAAGGATCCAAAGACCTGGTCTACTAGCCATAAGAAATATTCTATCCTGAAAGATTCTTCAGGCATCTGTTTTCTTGTGTCTCATCTCTAAATTCATATTTTAAACTGCTTCTTTCTTCACCTATTGCAAGATTCTTTCATCATCAGTTTGATGATAATTTCTGCAGCAGTTTCCTTTGCAGTGTTCATTGATGATGCAAATCCCTTTTCACTGTATTTGGTGAAGAAACGGATTAGACCTTGGACATGTGTAATGACTGCTTCAAGTTGCATGAACATAAGCCCAGATTCACTGCCACTAGTCCCCCCCCCCCACACCGAACAAAATAACTATGCAGTTTGTTGAAAATGCCGAACCTTAAAATAATGGGAAAAAAAAGAGACTCCTAGGGGTGTATGGCTATGTTTCTATCAAGCAGCCCTAAATAGCTGTATGCCATATGAGAACACAAAATCATAAATGTAGTGTTAGCTTATGGCCTGGCATTCTCATCATTATTTAATTTTTCCTGATTATGATCATTCAAGTTTTTAAAGCAAGCAAGAATCCACAGACAAAATCAGTCTGCATTACGTATTTCTAATATCAGGATGAAACAGTGTGTTATCATATGGGACTAATGTTTAAATTTTGCCACTGCATAATGAAAGCAAAATGATTAAAATAGCACACTCCACATTTACTTCACTTACTTTATATTTAGAAATTCTTTGTTCATAACATACTTGTCAATTGTACATGTAGGCCTACATGTTGATGTAAATGAACTGCATGATGAAGTGACTAATGTTAAAGCAGAATAAATTATTGATTGTTCCTGGTTCTTCTTAAACTTATAGCCAATGTGCTTATGTCTTCTTCTTTCAAACATTGTGAGATAATCATAATGGTAAATAATAACATCATCCTGATAATAGTATCATTTTAGCTTTGGTTCAAAAGGTTTGAGCCAGTCACACTCACAGGTTTCACAGTAGTGAAATAACAATGACATGTGATTTAATTTCTTATCAAACTTTAAAATTTAAATGCTTATTCTACTTTTATTTTGGTGTAGGGCAGTTAGCCTATGCCTATAAATATAACGAAGTGTCTACACGTCCGGCGCGCCGGACAAAAAGTGCGCGAGATATACGTCCGGCGGCCTGTCACGTGACCGCCGGACGGCTATTAGTTGTTATTATTCTGAACGAAGTGCAATTTGGCAGATATTGTGTGGTCTTGTGGTAGAGTGGTCGCTTGACTTGTAATGATTTGACGATCAATACCTGGTATAGGATCGTTTTTTCCCCCCCATTTTAATTAAAAGTCTTTTATACTATATTTATATTATCATGCTCATCAGCAAAAGTAGTTTCATGAGAAGTTTTTAAATATCTTGTAGCAATTGAAACAATTTAAAATGAAATCTTTTACTTTCATTGGTTGCCTACTCCATACTCATACTGGCCCCTAATTTATTTTATGGATTACTCAAATTACTGGTACACAAACTCAAATAACAAACTAAACAAAAATGTTTAGAAGCCACTTTCACTTAAGTTTTTTTTCTATCATTTGCATGCAAGATACTCAGTACATTACTTGGTAGAGAAATAGATTTTAAAATTAACAATAGTTTTGAATCATTCGGGGTCACGTGACAAGGCTGACCGACAAGATATCTCTCGCCACTTGTTGCGGCGGTCATGTGACTTGGTCATCGGACAAATAGTGCCGGAGATATACGTAGACACTGCCTAAATATAAATAGGCTATTGGCTCTGCTGTATGCAGTTATATTATAATAGGGCATAAGTTATAAGGAATACACCTTGTAATTGTAACTAATAAACTAGGCCTACTATTCATAACATGTTGTTTTTTTTTTTATATTTTGAAATATGATGATGAATTAATTATGAATTGATTATATTATTATATATAATATTTCAAAGAAGCTATCTTCAGTATCATTTAAGTTAAGTAAAAGTAAAGGCGAAGGCTACAAAGTAATTAAAGTATAAAGTTAAAGTGTAAAGTATATTAAATTTACATTGTCCTAAAATAAATATATAATAACCGTTCTCCCTAGTTCTTTTACTGTTTGAAATTTTTGGCTTCTTACTTGATCTCTATCAGATTTCTCCAATTCCTTGTTTACATCTTTAACCACAAGCTGCATCTTGACTATACTATACTATACTATTATTAATTGATCACGCTGACATCTGATCAGTATTGCCAGTATTGCGTTCACCTACTTCAGTATAGTTTAATTACAATAAGATGATTACAAGTTCTACGCAGTATTTATATCCTGCATTTGAGAAATTCCGAAATTCCAAATTATACAATCATGATGATGATTTCAAAATTAGGATAGCAAACAGCATTTATTATGCGGAAGTATTTGTACCGGTACTGTACTTCACATTTGTTTTCAATGCTTTGTGGTCGAGTAGTTTCCCTTGTAAATTCAGATCAATATTTACGTCTCAGCGAGAAATCACGAGACATTAGCCTGGTCTGCAAATCGATCAGGCAGTCTCTAATTATTAACTATGTTCAATGAGTACCTTTAGTTATCAGTTCTTACGGAATTTGTCACGTATGAATAGATGATTTCCTCTTCTTCAAATAAATCGAAAGTCGCATACCTTATTATCTTTAGAGTTCTACTGTTTATTCTAATCCTGCTTATCATTGCAGGATCTGTAATACTGTACCAGGGCCAGAATAAGCGGTTTATGGGCGCCTCCTCATCTCACAATATGAATCCACCAGTCAAAGTGCAACCTAAAGAGAAAGCCACAGCATCAGTGAGTCTATAGAGATTATTATTATTGCCATCTCTGTTAATAACGTTAAGATTTTCTAAACCCAATCTAATGAAATGGGTCCAAGATTGGTTGCAATTGCAAGAATTATTCATATTCTGTCTTCTCCCTTTTCACTCCTGCACTTAGTCTCAAGTGTGGACTTGAGTGACCAAATCTGCTAGTGGACCATACAAAAGGCAAATTGTAGGCCTAAATATGTATGAATGTATAAATGTATATATGATTTATCTAAATATCACTTGGCCAGACCTGTTTACTCTTACGATTTTGGCGTACAATGTACGATTTTGAGGTGTATACATTATACATTATATACACTGTACGTTTATTTTTTACTATTAAGATAATTTATTGAATGATTTTGTGATGATATTGTACGATTTTAAGAGTGTTGGGGTAAACAGGTCTGCTTGGCAAACTCTGTTACTAACTCCAGCAATAACTGGAATTTCAGGACTAGTAGTACTAGTGGCTAGTGGTTTATCACAGAATTTCATAAAAATCAAAATCTTAATTCCAAAATTTCTGGTAATAAATAATCACCTAAATGTCTGTCATCTTTAAAAGACTCTCTGGACCAGCCTTGCTCCCCTTAAGGATGAACTATTTGGAAAGTATGGTTCCATATTTCTGAGTTTTTAATAACATGTCTAAATATTAAACCTTTATAACTTTATAGTAGATAAAACAAGGTGACTAGACTTTCTAATTCAGTTGGGAGTGGGAGGGGGCAGTAATAATTATTCATTTACCAGTAGTAGGTAGGCAGGGAGGTCTACAGTAATATCAAAACAATTACGTACTAGAACTGTAACCTCATACTCCATAATTAATTACATTTTTGTTAAATTCATATATACTATATAGCTAAACAATAATTATTTGTGATATTTTTTACAAACAGATAACTTTTAGTCAATGTATGCGGCTGTTTTTGCTGATCAAAAAAACAATGCTTTGATGCCCAAAAATTGCTCATTAAATTTTGTATTTATATTTTAGCTTATATTTCTTCATGGTCTGGGTGACACAGGGTAAGTGTTAAAAATGTGTAACTTAGTTTTTTTTATAAGTATATGACAGTCATGAGAAATTTCATATGAAATGAAAGAAATCTAAATTTATTTACTTATTAGTTTAGAAAAAGTTCCATTGCACACAATTATATTTGTAATTTTTATGAATAGATACAGCAAAATAATAACTGAGATTGGTACTTCATCTGATATTTACTGTACGAATTTTTTTTTAACGTAGCCACTTGCACGTCAAATAATTCCTTGCATTTTTAACTTTTTTTAGCTATGATGAATATGAAGAAATATATCTTTTTCTAATTCATTTACTTTGATTGTATGCTGCACCTCTGTTTTTATGGTTTTTATCATCTTTCTGTTAGTCATGGTTGGGCTGATCAGTTCAGAGAGCTTTCTTTCAAGCACATACGCTGTATATGCCCTCATGCGTAAGTCATTCTAATTGTTAGCATTGGGTTGAATCATGTATAAAAAATTTTTTTCAAAGTTTTGTTTTATCAGCCCCATATTAAGTTATTTTCTGAACTATTCCAGTCAATAAATATATCTTTGTATCATGCTGACCTGGCATTTTAATACATGATTAATTTAAATGCTGACACCACCAAAAAAAGTGATCTGGCATTTGTAGCATTATCATGATTATTTCTTTTGATTCCTACAGACCTCATAAGCCAGTTTCCCTCAATGCTGGAATGGTAATGCCTTCATGGTAAACAAAAAAATTGCATTCTTACAATGAACTTGTCTGTTTGACCAAAAATTATTTGTATTACTTGTGCTAATTTATACAGTGATACCTCAACTTATGAACTTAGTTCATTCCTGACTGTGAATCATATCTTGAAAAGTTTGTACCGGGTATCTCAAATTCCAATTTCCAATTACATCTTACAGGAAATTAATTTTAAGAAAATGCAAAGAAATGGATCAGTAGTGAGAAGGAGCATTTTTAGGAGTTATGCATACACCATTAAACATTTTTATTTATCAAATCTTGTGCACACATACGCTAGACCTGTTCGTCCCAAACATGCGTGCGCCTGTCATTCCTTCATTCATTTCATAGAAATCACACAAAGAAATTCATACATAATGTACAAATATTTAATATAAACCAAATAAAACTCTTCACTAATTTTATTGTTTGATTATGCAAATAACAAAATCGATACAGAAAAAAAAAAGCAAATATGTACATGCGTTGAATTCCATATAAATGCGACATAGTAACAACAAACACCACAGGTACAGCATGTGTGCATGCACAGTGCATTGAAGTTCATATCTCAAATCTAAGTTAGTATGTAAGTTAATCTAAGTTTTGTATCTCAAAAAGTTCATAAGTAGAGCGTTTTGTAAGTTTTGTGTAGCTTTTTAGTTTTATTTATAAATGATTTTTCTTCTTCACCATTGTTATGTAATTCCTTTCGGCTCTTACCAAGAGTTAGTGAAATTTAATTAAATACTTGTTTAAGAATTAATCAAGACTAGCTCTATTATCTTTTAGGCTATATCATTTGAAGTTTTGATAGTGAGTTAACATAAATTATTATAGAAATAAAGTAGTGGGAATTTAATTAATTCACAAGTATAATTATTTAAAATAATAATTCTTTGTTAAAAAATTAAATGATTGTTAGTAGTTTCAGATTTTGCTTTGTACTTCACTTATGTATTGATATGTCCACATAAATTTAAAAAAAATTTTTTTTTGAGGTTTGATATACGTGGCCTAGACCCTAATAGTCCAGAGGATGAACAAGGCATTAGAGACTCATCAAGAGAATGTGAGTTTGTTTTTAAATTTAATTTTCTGAGTTATTTGTTTTCAAATATCAAGCAATATCAACGTGTAAAGCATCTATGTTCAACATCCAATTACTTCTCTTACTAGGAATGTATCTAGAAGTTAGAAGTATTACATTTTAAAAAAAAATTAACTGCAAGATCTTTGTCTTAAGTTAAAATGAATTTTTCTAATGTGACAAAATGTTATATTGCACATCATTGTTGTTGTACCAGGTTTAGCTAATGGTCAAATCTCCATTTATTTCCATTCTTAAAACTGTTTCAGTATTTTGATTTAGCACACTTAATCATTATTCCCAATAACGTTCCTAAAACTATAATTATTTTAACTGTAAATTTTTAATCTCTCAGTACAGCAATTGATCGCCAAAGAAATTAGTGATGGTATACCAGCTGAAAAAATTGTTATTGGAGGGTTTTCTCAGGGAGGGGCTGTCGCATTGTACACAGCTTTTGGAACAGATACAAAGATTGGTGGAGTTTTAGCTCTAAGTACTTGGATGCCAATGAACAAGTACTTTACCAATGATAGTGTAAGTAAATCAGTTTTTTCTTGAATAATTATGAGAAATTGTGATTGATAAAAGGTTTGACCATGCCCATCACATTGTTCGGGGGGGTTGGTGGGGGGGGGGTTGATGTCAAGAATCAGGAGCACATTCTATAGGATTTGGCTATTTATGGTAAAGCAATATATAATTTGTCATAAATAGTAATGGTACTATACTTAAAACAAAGTTCATTCAAATAAAACTGGTTGAGTGCTGTTATACTTAATATTTTGTCCTTCAAATTTAGAATACCAAATATAATACCAGAGTTCCTGTTCTGCAATGCCATGGAACTTCAGACCCTTTGGTGTCTCACAGATGGGGTCATGCTACTCATGAAATAATTAAGACTTTTAATCCTGCTGCACAGTTCAAACCTTACAACCATTTGGGACACAGCTCCAATCATCAAGTAAGCTTTTTGTTACCTTGCTCAGGCATCTTCCTCATGGAGAACAATACCAAATTTAAAAAAAAAATTAAGTTCATATTTTTAATCAATCTTCTTAAATTTTGTAGATGATTTATTTAATATTAGATTATTTCATACTCTAAAATCATCTTTTAATTCATCAATTTCATTAAAAATTAAATCTAGACATGTCATAGTCGTAATACATTACTATGAGTAAGTTTACTTAATTAGTCATTTATTTTAAGGTAAATCTTGTGAATTTTAGGATTTTAAATCTTTGAAAATTGTTAGATCCTAAACTTGTGTGTTTTTACATTCGTCAAGACAAACATGAGGTTTTAAATTCTTTTCCTTTTTGTCTTGTTTAATATTTTGCATATCCTTAGTTTCAATCAATATTTTATGTATTTCAGGAAATGGAAGACGTCAAAGCTTTCCTACAAGAAGTTCTTAAAGATTCCTGAAGTTTTTTTGGGGTTATAAGGGTTTGGAAATTTCTGGATTTTATGCTTTAAAAAATAAATAATACAAACTTTTCATGTTGAATAAAACAGTTTTTTTCTGAAAGAAATGAAGGAACATCATTAATTCTCTAATAGTTTCATTCAGCTTTTAAAAATGAAAATAATCTTCACAAAATTATTAATTTTGTGTTTTTTCAATGGCTTTAAATTACATCAGTTTTAGAAATGGGACATGATCTAGTTAATTAAGAAATGTATTTACAAAATAAGGATGTTTTCTTTTTATCCTTGGCAATCTGATTAGTACCAGTATTTCAATGATTGAAAAATGAAATTAGTGCACATGTGACTTTTAAGATAATAAGTCTCTTTTAAATGAAAATATAATTCTTGTTAGGGCTAGGACATACAGCTTGGGTTTGATTATATTCTTAGTAACATTAGAGTAGTTCACATTTTACATATTATAATTAAACATATATTTATTAACTAATAATTTGGTCAATATGTAAGATTTTCATTTTTTTTTAAAACTTTCTTAATAACACTATGTGTTGTCAAAGATATTTTGAATAAAATGATCTAAAAGTGTTTTTATATAAAATAAAGATGAGACAATAGCAGTTGACTACTGAGTTTATTTTTTTATTGTGCTCATTGTTATATAGTTATTTCCACCATAAGTTCAGAGCATATTTTTTTATTAAAATTTTTTTTAAATTAATCTTAATATATAACACTACTATAATAAACAGTTGGTTGGGAGAAACAAAAGAGTATATATCACTGTCAATGTCTTTCTCCATGGAAGTATATTTTATATTGTGTGTATAGAAAGTATGGTTGCATGCAGTGATAATTCCAAGGGAGCAGCTTTTTTTTTTTATTAAAGCTTCAAATTCATTCTTGTTCTTTGTGAATTTACCACAAAACAGTGTATTTTATCTGCCATTTTATAAGCTATAATTTGTGGAGGGTGCATTCTGATGTTTTGATTTATAGAATTTTAAAAATTTAGATTTATGATTAATATAATGGAATGCATGCTACTTATGTTGTTTTTTAAAGAGTTTAAAGTAAGTGGTTAATTTTTTCTTCCATTTTGTAACATGCATGTTACCTACTTTGTTATACAAGATAAGTTGTGTTCATTCATATGTTTTACATATTTTTATTGGAACAGTCAATTCCTCTCAGTTTTTAGTTACTTCCAGCAGTAAATGTTAATTGTTTTAATGTTAATTATGTGTCAAATAAAAAAATAAGTCAAATGTTGTTGAATTTTATATAACATTCTGAAAAGTATGTTAAAATTAAACTTAATTCAGTGGGTGTGACAATTAAAATAGCAGATGCAAGTCACCAGTTATTTCCATTAAAAGTTGTTGTTAAAGGAATAATGTGTGTCTCATTTTGTTCCAGTGTGTAAAGATGAATGATACTAATCTTATGTTATGCATCATTTATTAAGTTAATATTACTGAAAACTTTTTTTATTTACAAGACTGCAATATTAAAATGATTCCTATGCTGAATGTCTCCATTTAAAAAGAACGTTGCAATATGGCGCTATGATTATTCACCATAACCAATATTTGCTATGCACTGGATTGCTTCTAAAAGTTATAGAATGGTGGTTGATTATCCCCCTTAATTACATTTTGATCATTTCAACTCGCTATAAAGATTTTAAAGTTGAAGAAATTGTATTTACTCTAAAAAACTAAAATTCTAAGTACCCGGTAGTCAGAAATGTTGTGAATCTTTGCATCAACTAAAGATATATAGGCCAGGTAGAGCAGATTTTTCAAATATATGTGAATTTTTGTTTTTATTGTAGTTGTAGTAAATTGGAGAAATATTGCTTATTTCATAACATTCTTAATTATCGCTTTTAGTTTTAGACACTTCTTTATCATTATAAATTTATAATTTACACACAAGTAGATGTTTAACTGTACCTCTACTAATTAACATAATGTGTAAGCCAGTTTTATTTGATATTGGTTATCTCATACTTGTAATGGTTGCAAGGAACTTTTGACTTTACTTCTCTTTATATAGCAAACCAAATATATAAACTATTTTCCATTATGTTTGGTTACCTAAGAAATCAGCAAATTTAGGTCTACCTCATTGCCAATAGAGATAATACACCAAACTGTAATTTAAAAATCCCTAAAGACTTTGAAAAAAAAAAAAAACATCACTGTCATTACTATTAACAATTCGTTGTGGTGGGAGATAAGTGTTATGAAAACTGTCGAGATACACTAGCTCAATATACGATGGAATGTTTTTTCCACATCTTATAAATGCACAAAACATTTCAGGACATTTAGAATGATTAGGGTAGTTCATTCTTAAATTTGTTTCCCAATCGCGCATTTTTTAAAGTTTTCTATTTGTTGGAAGAAATTGATTGCTTTTGTTTTTAAAACCATAATTTAGTAAATGGAAGAAAAAAAAACAACTTTTCCTGAATGTATAATAATTTGGTCAAATTTGTTCATATTCATAAATTGTTATTTGCAATTGGGATGATCCCTATTAGTATTTAATTTAACCATAATGTGAGTTATTTTGAGTTATTTTTGGACGGATTCTTTGTCTTCAAATAAATGCGTCTGAATATTCCAGACATTACAATGGACTTCTTTGTCTTTAGTTTTACTGTGTCACAAATTTTTTAATGATTTAAATTAAGTATCTCTCTGATTTTGCTATTAGTAAGGAGATATCATTGATCGCTTAGGTTGTGTTGTGAAAGGAACACCACACCATTACCAACCCGCTAGCCTGGGTTGTCAGAGAGGTTTATTATTGCATCAATATTAGTTAGATTATTCAAAATATTTATGTAATCTCTCCCACACATTATATATATATATATATATATATATATATATATATATAATGTGAAGAGAATATATATATATATTATATATATAATATATGTTGGCGATAATTGCATCAATATTAGTTAGATTATTCAAAATATATATATAATCTCTCACACACATTATATATATATATATATATATATATATATATAATGTGAAGGGAATATATATATATATTATATACATAATCAATGTTGGCGATAAATGAAATACTTTTGAATTACCTGTATATATGTTAAAAATAGGCCCAAATTATATGGCTACAAAAGTTACATAGTTTGGTTTGAAGTTTGACATATAATCAAGTCTTTAATAAATTTTAATACCCGTAGTAGAAAAGGATATTTCGAAATTTAATAAATAAAAACTCATACACCATTACTGTTACGTCACAATATTTTGTGTAGGATTGGTAGTCAAATATCATTTTTCATGAAATCAAAATAATTTTATTAAGATAAATAATCGGTTAAACGTTTTTCTTTCTTCTTTAGACATTAAATCAGTAAGCATCAAATTATTGATGGTTTGAAAGAAGAAAAAAGTGGGGAGGGGGGGGGAGGAGAGATTGAGAAGGAAGAGGCCAAAAAACAAAAAGCCGTTAACTGAATGTCGTCATCAAAATATGTGCACCTGAAAAACTAAGATATTACCTCCCTTATTATTTTTCTTTACCACACAAAGATGGCTACTTCTATGTGGGCTACTTCATCAGCACACAAAGACTAGACGGTCGATGTCAGTCAGTACACTGTTATTAAATAATGCAACAATATTGTGCTTTTTGCAAATTGTTTAATTTTTAAATAAAAATATATCGCTTCGCACAACTCCTGCTATACCATATAATTATAAGTTGAAGGACGACACTTGTATCTAACTTACTTATATTTCAGTGCCAGTAAACAAATGAATGCAGAGTGATTGGCCTCCTCATTCATTCATCATGGGCAATCCCTTAAGCCACATTTTAGTTTTAGTGCCTAGTTTCTATAAACTCATCTAAGTCTATCTGACCTATTTAATAGTAGGCCTAAAACGTAACATATAGTTAAATATTAGTATCAAACAAATTGAATCATCTACTAATTGTATTGGCCAGTCAGTTTTTCTCTTTTTTTGTGTTCTTGTGGCCCACTTCAACACTTACTTATTTTCAATGGTATCATTGATTATTACTGAAATTTGGTTTGTATTGTCAGGAATATCCAGTTTTATTAAAAAAGGGGATAAAGTTACTAATAGTATAGCCTGTGCTTTGTGAAGTTTATGAAGCCTAAAGCAAACTTTTCAATTCAAGTTTTCTTAAAACATTAATATTATTATTATTATTATATTTTTATATTAATATTAAGTAATTAATAATGAATTATAATGTATAGAATATAGAAACCAATTGAAACAAGAATAAGATCCAAAAATAAAGTGTCCGTACCCTAAAAATTTTAGTTAACAAGAAAAGCACCATACTTCTCTTGACTTTAATTAATAATATTAATTATCAGTTAATTTGAATTTTTCAGCAATTTTTAAAAGAGGAAAATACTAATACCATAAATGTTAAAAATACTTAAGTAAGTTTAAAAATAATCAGGCCCCCGGAAAAAAGCCTGGGAAACCCAGCTCTAGATTATATTACTTGAATTACAATAAAAGCATGCACGCAATGAACCTAACATACTATATATATATATATATATATATATATATATATATATTACATTAGGAAATGACGTCAGTAGGCTGAGTAGGCCCGTCAAGCTAAAAGCTCTTTATGCCCTCCCCAATCCACCCCTCTAAGCCCAAACATCGGGCAACGAAGCAGATATATATATATATATATATATATATATATATATATATATATTACATTAGGAAATGACGTCAGTGGGCTGAGTAGGCCCGTCAAGCTAAAAGCTCTTTATGCCCTCCCCAATCCACCCCTCTAAGCCCAAACATCGGGCAACGAAGCAGCACATTGGAGATCTCCCTTTGCCCCTACCCACATCTGCTCAATCGGGTTCTACCAATGGGGGCCGCCCTACCACAAGGACATCCGATAAGCAGGAAACTGCTTGCACAGTGCCAGCGACCGACTTCCCAGGAGTCAGGATGGTATATTTATGTCCTAAAATTTTCCCCATGCAGGGAAGCATCAGACGCCCTCTAATAAGGATTTCTACAGTAGGTTTCTAATTTACAAAGCATGAAATGGTTACCTAGGAACAGCTTCCTCAATGATGTGTAAATGGAACCGTTGGCTTAGGGTTGCCACAACCCACACCTTGCCTCATATCCAATGGCAACTTTCCTACCCTGGTTCTGCCTTTATGTCCAGCTGCAGATTTTCCACAGTTGACAGCCTATAGACTAGATGCTACAATTTATGGCAGATAACATGCATGACCTTGTCTGCCCATGCAGTCACATCCAAAATACCTAACATACTTATTTTATTATTATTATTGCATGTATTTACATTTTTCAAGAATGAAGACATATTTGTTTTGTTTTTTTAAAACTTCTCTTATTCTTCTTTTCAGAAAAAAATGTTTTTTTAGAGAAGGTTTCATCCAAATTCCAACATGTCACTTGTCTCTAAACCAGGACTTTTAAATGGAGGTCTGCATGGCCAACAGCTGATCCCTTCCTCAGCAGGAGATACACATTGTTTAGGAAGTACAGCAAATTCTGATTTCCCGTCCAAAATCAATACAGAGAAGATTGAGCTTGCAAGTAGTGAATTTCATAATTCTACAGACAATGGTGACTTGGGTCAACTCAGTGTACATGAGGGTATTGTCGAGGGAGAAAATACAGGAGAAGAGTCCCCTGTTATTGATATTATCATAAACAATGTTGTGTGCACTTTCAGTACACGTTGCTACCTCAATCTTAGAGCTATAGCCTTAAAAGGAACAAATGTAGAATACAAGCGTGAAAACGGGGTAAGCTTAATAATTGCTATTAAAACCCATTGTTATTTCATTGATGTTGAGATAATATATTTTATGACATATAATAATATTGTTTTATTCAATACTAATTAAAAAAATTCTGAGTATCATACAAAATTATAGAAATGAGCCATTATAAGCATAATCATAATATGTTTGTTTCTATTTTAAGCAACATTATTAAATTTTTTATTCTTAATTAAAACACAAGTCAATTTTTAAAAAAAAAACAACAGATGTTAAATATGAAACTAAGACGACCACATACAACGGCAACGATTTGGTCTTCTGGAAAAATAACTTGTACAGGATCGACAAGGTAATTAATTTGATTAGCTCTATCAGTACCACTTATTATTGAAACTCTTAATTAAATTTATAAAAAATTGTTTCTGAATGTTTTATGTCAGCATTTCCAAAAACGGAGTCGCTATTCGGCATCAGGCCACTAAAGCCAGATACCGAGTTTCAAGTCTGTGAAAATGCACACATATCAGACAATGTCATTTTAATGTGTTTTGTAGACAGAATTATGACAATACAACTCACAAAGAATTTCTCCTCCATATACCTCGGAGAATAACAAAAGCATACAAAATTTTGATTGATAATGACATCTCTCAAAATAGGAACACATGTACGGAAGTGAGTTGGAATGGGGCTTGTGCATTGGCTAAAACTTGAAATGGCCTCAGTGAGAATGAAGGCTGTAGCATGACTACAGTGTGTATTTGTGCATTGTAGCACTCGAAGGGAATCTTTGACCATTAAATAATGAGATTCTCTTTAGCTGATACTAACCAAGAGTTAAAAAAATGTATAAACGCTATAAAATCTTATTGACTGAATTAAGAACATCAAGTTTACAAAGCACTCAAAGACATCTTAGAAAGAGCATTGTCATTAAGAGTAACCAGTTTTAGTAGAAAGGGCAATAACATTTCTAAAAACTTGATTATGACCTATGTGAAGCAGTCTTTTCAACACAGGCTTGACTAAAATAAAAAAAGAAACTTTTGGAATTAAAATAGAATATGTAGAATTAAGTTAAGTTATAAGAAATATGGCAACTTAATTTTCATCTTTCTCATAACCTAAAAATAAAAATAACAGGGCCACAGAAAATAAATTCTAAAATATAGATAATTTTAATTTTATTAAATGTGTACCAATATTCTTGTTGAGGTGAAAACATTTTTTTAATGACATGGGCATGGGTGATGCCATGATAACAATTTATGTTTTGCTTTAAAGACTACGAATGCTATAGCTTGATATGACGTTCATTTACTTATTAGATTTTTATGGTTCTCTTTGTCTAAAACTGTGCTAGGATATGTCACTTAGGTTCTCCTGTTTAACACAGGCTTAGATTATACACCAAGATTCATATGAACATAATTTTTTGGTCGATTCGCTTAATAATGTGCTTTGAATGCAAATTATTAAATGTAACGATGCAAAAACTTTAGATTGAAATGATTTGCTTAGGGATATGGTTGTAATTTTAATTAAGAAATAAAACTATTGTACAGGTATCGACATTTATTTGTTGTTTCATTAAGTGAAATAAATTTAATAATGCTGTTCAATGTCCTTTTTTTCCAGTGAAGAGGAAGCAAAATTAGCTGCAAGACGTATTGCCCGCCGCCTACAGAAGTTGGGTTTCAACATTCGTTTCTCAAGCTACAGAGTGGTGAATGTTTTGGGCACCTGTAGTTTACCATTTGGCATTAAGCTTAATCAATTTTCTGAAGCTAACCGGGCTAATGCTAGGTAAGGGATTAATTGTTCAATTAATATGCATGTAGTAGATAAGACATTTTGGGGCATTGGGGCTAAGAATGCAGGTTAAAGTGGGTGGCATAGTAACACATTTGTTCATACCTTTTTTTTGCCCACACGACTGATATTAATTTATTTTGAGTGTATTTATTTGAAATACCGTTCTGATATGAAATTCATGTTGATAAAGTGTTTTGCTGTTTATAATTATTTGTTTCACAAAATATAGTGTACAATTTTACTAGTGCGAAGATAATGTGCAGGGTCATGTACTTTGTAAATATTTTAAAGTAAATTGCATGAGAAATTGATGTACATACTACTAACATTTATATTAAATACAGACTTCACAACTTAATGGAAAAAACATAATGAAAAGTTATTGAGTTAAATCATTCCATAAAATATATTATATTCATTATTGGGGAATACATTTTTTTTTTCAATATAACTTTTTGTTGTTGTAAATTATTCTTTATTATAATTAAAATTATTATTAAAGAAAAATGATTCAGTTTTCTTTCCTTTGAATACAAATTTTTCATGCTTGAAATTTCTTCACAGCTATGAGCCTGAGCTGCATCCTGGAGTTACATATCGAATTAAAGAACCCAAGGCCACTTTGAAAATATTTTCAACTGGCAGTATTACAGTAACAGGTAAAAAATTTCTTTGTATTTTGTTAGCCTATACAAAAATCATTGGCATCAATACCATATCCATAGTTTGACTGGATAAGAAAGTGATTTTTAAAAAATTCTGTTGTTTTTGTTTTAATAAACATTCTGAACATCTTTAAAATAAAAAATAATGTCTACAAAAAGAATGGGACCTTGCAAAATAAAATTCTTTTACTTATCAAACAATATGACCTTAACATTCGTCCATAAATGTGGAAGTTGGTATAATTTTTAAATGTCTATAAATTATTTTATAAACGTTTTTTTAACATCAATTTATATGGGAAAAGCTGTTCGTTTTCTAAAACGTTTTTAACTTTTTTAAATGCAATTTTATTTTAGCGCCCTGTGTATTAAATGTTCAACTTGCCATAGAACACATCTATCCCCTAGTGAACATGTTTAAAATGGAACCGAGAAAGATAGATAAAAAGGTTAGTAGTTCTGATTTTTCTGTTTATAAGTACCTTCTTAATCAATTATTAATATAGGAGTTACAAAAGTGTAAAAAGATACAGACTATGGAATATTTATCATTAGGGATTTGTTATAATGTTAATATTTTATTTTAAAGAATGAATTTTATTAATATTTATGTTCTACAATACTTTTGATGATAATTGGCATATCAAAGTAATTTAGATTAGCTGGATTACAGTAGTGATCATAAGTTTTTTTAAAACTTGTTCAGATCATACAGCTATTTGCTATGTTTCTATATTTACTTAAAGATTAATTACAAAACAAGAGCGTTTAAAAAAATCTCTACCATTGCATTTATTTAGGTGTGATGAATCCTCTCTGAAATGTAATTTTTTTTTTTTTAAATTCTTTAAATCTTCAGATAATTTTGGCAGAACGTAAATATCTTAAAAAGACAGGAACTACTGTAGCCCACCCACTTTTGCAAATACCTGATGACATTGATGAAGAAGAATTCAGTGATGAAATGGATGATGAAGATTTCTCAGATGAATGTGACAGTGATGTAAGCCAAGATTAATAAAGAAAGATCTTGGTGTATAAATGGTTTGCATGGTTTTTTTAATGTAGGTAATTGTAAACCTGTCAGAATTCTCCACCTATCTTGTCAAACCACTGATGTTCTGAATTTGTTTCTTGTTAGTTGAATTGGTTCTTAGTTTGGTGCAAGGAACAGTGGTTTGCATTATAAAAGTTGTGTTGAAGTTTAAATGTATTTTAATTTCTTTGAAACAGTTCTCTTCACCCGTCTTAATGATTAATCTGTTACGGAGAATGATTGTCTGTTGGTTTTTTTCATACTGGTATCTCATCTTAATTGTCAATATTTTTTTATGCCAATGTACATAAACATTTCAGTGAATCCATTACGTTATGAAGTTACAATACCGGTATATTTCTAAGATGGTTCTCTGTATAACTAAACAAAAAGTTGGACAAATCATATTTTTAAACAGTTTCTTTATTTGTTAAAAAATCCTTCTGTGTACTGCATCCTAGATATTCATCTCAAACTAGCTTTAACAGGCAAATAAAGTGCTGAAATATGATTTCTCCTGTTTAAGTGATTATTAATTAAAGTCATGAGTAACTTTTTTTTTTCAACTTGTTTGATTATATTTATAAGATAAACTCTGTAAAATTTCATAAAACCATACAACATGATAGTATATCAGTGATATCTTTGGGTAAAAAAAATTTATTAAATACTAATGGTAGCCCACTTCTTAACCTGTAGAATTTTTTTTAAGGTCTGAAACATGCTGTAATAACATGTTTTGTTGTAGACATTTCCATTATCTATTTGCTGCTGTCTGTTTCAAGTGATTTTTTTTTCCATTTACATTTTGCATGTAATAAATCTGTTGTGAAGTAGACTAGTCTGTATCTATAATTGTAGATAGTTTGAAGCTACTTTTTAAAACTTTTATACTTTTTTGTATTAATTAACTGTGGGTTCAAGCACAATAAATAGTGTCAATATATTGCAAAATTATTTCATTTTTAATCTATTAATATAGAGAGGAGAAAAAATGTTTAAAAACTTACTTCAAACTAATGGCCTTATAATAATGGTTATAATAGTGGTGTATCTTAGAAACATCTCACTTTATATCTTATGTTTGGGTTGGTAAAAACTTATTTTATAAAAACTATCTTCAAAATTCCTCTTAAAACTATTAAATTGCAAAAAGACTCATAATTTAAGTTCCATTAACAATATTACAAAGAGGCAGAAGATTTTTCCATTATGTACTGTTCACCACAGCTTAAGTTATTTAAAAAGTGCAGTAAATATTAATTTTTTTATCTGTTTATATGTTCTAAAAAATTTAATAGAACAATTATTTTGCACTTGCACTTACCAAAAGTTTATTATGGGCATTTTAAAAAATGTTATACCGGTATTCATTTTGTTGATTTTTGAGCTCTTCCATTAAAGTGTTATAAACTGCACTGGATATTTTTACTTATTTTCCATACTTTTTCTCTCACTGAAGAAATAATTGCATTTTCTGTTAAGTGCTCAAAGCCCATCAGGAAAATGGCTCCAGAAAAAGTATATGAATTTTAGAACTCTTATTTGCTCATTGCTGTTTACTTGTTTTGTTTGAGAAATCTGAAAGCTGCTGTATAATTGAAGTATTAATTCTACTACCAGATAAAATCATGTACTGAAACATTCTTGTATGTTTGTAGTTGCTATTTGTGGATAATACTAATTAACATAAAGACAGTACATTATTTATTTGTCAGTTATGATGAATTACAAAAGCTTATAGATAGAATTTTAAATATTTGTAATTGGTATCATATTTTAACTAAGTTTTGTTTTTAAATTGACAGAATTATTTCATTTTCAATATTAAAAACTGGGGCAATACAGTTTTGTATCAATACTTTAAATGTTTATTCTTTGCCATCAGTACCCTAAACAATTATTAGCAGCCAGCAGTCTATGTGAATAGGAAAAAATGTGAATTAATGCCAATTTATTATGTGTGTAACTGGAATCATTCTGTAATTATGTATTTTGTGTTCTAATTAAAATAAAATGCTCTTTTATATTTAAATGTGTGTTGATTTTATATTGAAAGGCAGAACTATAGAAGACCGAGTAAAAAAGAATGTAAGGTATTTTAACTACTGACTTCTGTTGGTTTCCTGACATTAGGTAGCATGATAAATGTTTCACACTTTAAAAGCAAAATAATAAGGGAAAAAAACAACAAAATCCTGATAAGGCTAAAATTGACAAGGATGATTTTTATTAAGTATTTCAATGTGATTTAAAGAATTAATAACCTCATTTACGTTACAGTAATGAATTCCATGATAAGTCATTCACAAAACATAACATATCAAACAAGATTTAACAGTTAAATATTAATCTTCTGGACGTTTTGGTGGAGGACCACAAGGTTGAAGCATTTTCTCCATTATATTAAACCGAACTCGAGCCCTGGACTCATTTTCAACCAAACTGAGATGGTTTAACATATCAAAATGTCCAAGATAAGATGCATAAGTATCTCTATGCTGATTGGTCAACCATTCCCATTTGGTAGTATCTGCATGGCCTGTTCCAATATATTTTGACTGGAGATGTTCAAGCTGGCTGTGGATGTTATATCTGTCGCCCATGTTCTGTAAATGCACTGACACTATATACTGGAGAAAGAAAAAAAAATATTTATTCAAATTGCACTCAAGTGTAACAAATACCTCAGTTACAAGACTAATCATAATTATGCTACTTATGAAAGCTTTTTACCTCTGTGTGTCGCATGATGCATTTGGTTATCAATTCTTTCCTTAATAAATTAACCAAAGCAGCTCTATTTTTAAAAAGTGAGGTGATAATTCAAAATAGTCTAACCCTTCCCTGCAACCTAACCTTCATGTGGTTAATTCTAACAGACTACTTTTCTTCTTCTTCTATATCTTAAGGGCCCACGATCAATTTATTGATCATTTTGGCTCCTATGCATGTAGATGGGATTTGCAATGTTTCTGTTACTGGTGTTGATGAGGAAATCATGCTTTTCATTTACTGACACAGTTATACAACTAGTTCTAAGTTTGCACAATAAAATAGTCCTTGGTTATAGCATGCATGTCATTTTTGATAGACCATCTGTTAGGTGTTTTATTTTAATGACATTTTAATGCCTTTTAGTATTACTTAATTACTAATTTGCTTAGGCCCTAGAATATAGTATTTTTATTTAGAAGACACGTAGCCTATGTTCTATGTGGATAAGTTACAGTAAGTAATGAAAAATTATGTAAGCAAATAATATAGGGCTACTATTTAACATAATGTCTCATTTTCTTTTCTTTTTAATTTAGTAAATTTTGTCACTTGTTACTTTTAATTAGGGATGACTTAAAATAATTCTTCCTATCTATGACTATCTCTATGAGCTATTCTCAATTATTTTCAGTTTGGTGCCTAGGCTTATAGCCTATATAGTTATATGAATATGATTATATGAATAGTAACTAAAATAGTCAATAGCAGGGATTTGGAGCAGGGTTTTTTTTGCCCAGAGCTGGAGGAGAACTGATAAAATTTCTCAAATTTATTAAAAAATTAATTTTAAAAATATAATTTAAAAAATTAATAAATTGAACTTTTCAATTAATTAAAAAGTTGCCTCAACTCTTCTACTACACGAGCTATGTTTCCCAACTCCTTTTCAGCTATTTGCATCCCCTTTTCTACCAGTCATGTTGCCCCCTCTTCTACCAGTTATGTTGCCTCCTCTTCTACCAGTTATGTTTCCCCTCTTCTACCAGTTATGTTGCCTCCTCTTCTATCAGCCATGTTGCCTCCTCTTCTATCAGCCATGTTGCCTCCTCTTCAACCATCTATGTTTCCTCCTCTTTCATCAACTATGTTGTCTCCTCTTCTACCAGCTATTTTGCCTCCTCTTCTATCAGCTATGTTGCCTCCTCTTCTACCAGTTATGTTGCCCCCTCTTCTATCATCTATGTTGCCCCCTCTTCTACCAGTTATGTTGCCTCCTCTTCTAACACTTTTGTTTCCCCCTCTTCTGTCAGCTATGTTGCCCCATCTTCTACCAGCTATGTTACCTCCTCTTAGATCAGCTATGCTGCCCCACTCTTTTTTGGCTATGTTGCACCCCCTTTTCTACAAGCTATGTTGCCCCCTCTTCTACCAGCTATGTATCTAGCCCCTTCTTATACCAGCTATATTGCCCCCCTATTCTACAATACAGATGTTGCTCATAATTTTCTACCAGCTAAGTTGCTGTTACATGCATTTCCAATGCCCCCCTCTTCTTTCCGCTATGTTGCCCCCGCTTCTAACAGTTATGTTGCACCCTCTTCTATCAGCCATGTTGCTGTCGCATGCATTTCCATTGCCTGGTTAATAATTTGGGTTAGTGACAAAATAATAAATACATTTCTTTAAACACTAAGAACTCCCCTAAACCAGGGGTCGGCAACCTGCGGCTCTTTTGATGTCAAGATGCGGCTCTCCAGTTCTATGCGCAAATATAAATAATTTTATTGAAATAAAAATGTTAGTGGCTCTTTAAAAACTGTGAAATTTTGTAAATTGTAACTTTTGGCTCTTCTGTCTCTAAAGGTTGCCGACCCCTGCCCTAAACCAACTCATCTCCCTTTTAAATTTGACAAGAGGTTGGAGAGGGGCTGAAAACATTTGTCAGGAGCAGAGCTCAGCCAAAAAGCCTGCTCCTAATCCCTGATCAATAGTCATTCAATGTTGAATGCATGATTCAAATTCATTCATCAATTTCAATGAATTAGTCTCATTAGGGTTAGGGTGGTAGGCCTACTACTGTACTAGGTATGATATATGTGTTGGCTTGAAAAAAAGACAGGACAATTACAAGGACATTTCAGTTTCAGCCGACAAAAGAAATTAAAGAATAAGCATTACATAGAAATTAAAAGCTTATATGTTTTAGTTTGAAGATTCTGATAAAAATGTGGTTCTCAAAGTCTGTTTATAGACTGAGATTACAGTATGAGTATGATGAGGCAACTGAACTAGCCTATTGTCCCATTGAAATTGTCTATAGACATTTTAATTGTTTCTATAGTATAGTAGTTACTATCCTAGTGTCTCATTTTTTTTTATTTTACTTAGTTTACATGTTTTTAATATTTGTAAAGCGCTTAGAGCTTTATGGTAAGCGCTATATAAAAATGCCTAAATAAATAAATAAATAAATTTAAAGTTTAGGCCTACTCAGACAACAAAAATATCAATACTTTTTATAGCTCGCAAAACATTGGCGACAGCAATGAAATTCCATCTACCTAAGTTACTAGACAAAACAGAAACTCAAGTTAAAGTAACGCATATTTAAGAATCCCAATTTTTGCTAAACCCCTTCCTCCATGATACGTCACTACACATTTTTTATTTCACATCCATGAATTATATAAATATTCTGATTTCTCAACCACTTTTAAACCGAATATTTATTACACCATATTTAAATTGAGGCGATTTCATTTTCCGAAAAAAACAAATTACGCATCAAACGCAGTTGCGTTATTTTACAAAATATTTAGCGTAGTTATTAGGAATTATATTTTGCATGCTATCCGGAGATGGAAGCAGTCACACCACACGTAAAATATATATAAGAGATATTTGTATTATTACATTGTATGATGATGCTATCAACATGTTTCAATAATATATTAATAATAATACTCACTCCCTTAGTGGGGGTAGAAAATTGGTGCAAGAGAAAAGGCTCAGTAAAGTTCAAAACTAAGTACTGACAACTGACACAAAATCTAGGTAGTTAAATTTTTCACTTGAATTATCATTGGCAGTGTCTAATGTCCAGCGACCAGACAAATAGTGCAGGAGATATTCATCCGGTGGGCATGTCACACTTAATTTAACATTGTCACTTTTTAACCATTTGTTCATTATAAATGTGAAAACATGAAATTAAATTGAAGTTAATAGTAAGTTTAAAACACTTTTAGTAATAAGTTAAGATAAAAAAATAATATTATAAATATAAAAGTATGTTTACAGTCAATAAATGACTATCATGACATGATAGACTGTAATAGACATGTAATTGAATATAAAACGTCCGGCAACCGGACAAATAGAGCGGGAGATATTCATCTGGCGGGCATACTGCCTATTGAGAACTTATTTGTCAGGTCGCCGGACATGTAGACTGTAGACACTTCGATTATAATTATAATTAGTATTTATTAGTATTATTATTAGTTTAGGCTTCGGCTTAGGAAATAAAATAAAGGTTTTACGCACTTTAGGGCAAACTTAGAACTAGTTCAATTATAATTTGATATATATAATAATTAATTTTATATATGAATATGGCCAATATGGGATTGATTAATAATTAATATATGAACAATGAATAGACTTTTAATATTTAAAATTAACATTAATTTTTTACATGACTTTTACTTAAATAATATATACTATAATTTAACTATAATTCAGACAAATGACTTTGACGTCTACTACTATACTGACTTCTTATGCATACGATTATTCATTTATAAGTAAAATAATAATTTAAATAATACTGAACTTCTAACTAGTCTAGTGAGCCTAGTCATAGTCATAGTCTATAGTCATAGTCTATAAATACTATACAGTATAGTCAGTATAGTCATAGTCATAGTCCTACACATACTCATACTCCTATATTATTCACTATTCCCCTAGCCCTAGACCTAGCTTTTCTATTTGGGTGAAGAAGGTAATCTTCGATTTGATCGATGCTTAATTCAGTCATTAACTACATTGTAAGATTTCACACAGATTTTTAATGAATATAACTTACGACAAAAGTGTCGAAATATTCCAAATATTATCACAAAAAGTTGGTAAGAAATTCAGTCGGATTTCGTTCGACGATACCACTCTTCAGTGCGTGAAGAATTGTGAAGACTGGAGATTACTAAAAAATATTACCGGAAATCTACAAGAATGCCTTGATATGATAATATGATAATATCTTTTCACATTAAAAAAAAAAAAGCAACAAGTTATTCGATAACTAGCTGAAGTATTTGTTCTAGGCTTGGGTGGCGAGCATTTTTATTAGCAAATATTGAAAAGCCATGGCTGACAATGAAGTTAATTACTGCGTGAAAACTTCTTTGTAGAACTTTCTTTTTTTTTTTTTTAATGAGTTTCCTTGATCAGTTTCTAAAGACTTGTACACGTAACACTGACTTGCTGAAAGGACGTTGTTCTCGAAAAAGCAACACAAAGTTTCCATGACTGAATAATGTAAATGGAAAATAAATACCATCTGAAAGCAGTGTTTCTCCTTGACTTTTGTCGATGGTCATAGCAAAAGCAAGTCTCAATGGAAACTGTTTTCGTCTAAATGTAAAGGCAAAGGGAAGGTCATGCTCACTGAGTGCAAGAATAACTCTTGGAATAAATAACCTGGACCTTTAAAAATCCGGTCAGGATTTCAGTCAGTGAATTTTGACATCGTTTGCTTGATGATAATTCTGGTGCCAATGTTGAGTCCAGGTTTTAGCAACATTACTACTGCACCAACTTTGAAGTTAAGTCTATGAGGACGCATACATCCAGGGGCTGTGTTGTTCAAAGACTCCTATGGATATTTTGCTTCCTCCTCGGTTTGCACTGTCTTGCTGAATAAGAATCTATGCTGGTGTAGCATTTCAAATCAGACTGACTTTATCTAAGAACATTTTCGTTGTTATTTGGAATCAGTATTGTGCGTTTAGCTATGCTGTCATGTCTTGATTGGAATGACCACGGGAAAGACAGCATCAACAATACATACATTATCAATGCAGGCTGGAGGAATTTCCAAGATGCCTTCCTCTAATTCGGGTTCTTGGAGTTTTCCATTCCCAAGATTTAAAAGCCGACTACAAAAGCCTCCATGTTCTGATGTTCTAGTCTAACTTTAGGACCTGAATATTTTTCCAACACTTACTATTCTTCATGCATGAAGAAATTATTTCGGTTCTGCTGCCATGTGGAACAACGGGGAGAATGAGCCTAAATTTGTACCGAAAAGAAATAACGCACCTCCAAATGGTTTTTATGAGGTTTTGGATCTTCGGGATAGAGTTCATTACCTGAGGCAATTGAAGCTTAAACCCAGATTATCACTTTGTTGTGTTGGTGGGTTTTTTTTCAGTTCATTTGCCGTATTAGTCCCATGTGGAACATTCCAGGTTGATGTTTCATTTATTGGAATAGGCAGCTTGAAATGAATGTGGGATGTTCTGCCTCCCTCAAGCAAACGTTCTGCTATGCCTGTATATGCACATGGCAAGACTAATTCATTTTTGCTACACATATAGTGCATGATTGTGTTGGAAATGAAAGTTTTACCACTTCCGCCAGATCCCTCACTAAGGAATAGACATTTGGCTAAGTTAGGGTTTTCACCAGCTTCCCTGATTTTGTCAAAAGCCCCTCTAAGTCCTATGTTGATTTTTTGAAACATGTTGGGTTTTTTTCGGCAATAGGATAGCCACATTTTCTAGAATGGATTGACTCATTATAGTTTCCGTCCGGAATTTCTAGAACAAAAAAACGGCCAATGACTTTCCACGTTTTCAAAGGACAGAATAAATTTCTTTAAGTGTCAAACTGAGAGCATTTTCTCCACCAAGAAAGTGTCTCTTATAATCCTCTATAAGATTGTTCTTATGTCTGTCGAATCCGACCACTCACACATTATATAAATAAATGCAAGCAACTGCTTAAGTTGTACTGGCATTTGATGGGTTGCAGCTTAGAGGTAAGGTAAGTATCCCATTTTGACTTTCTGAGTCATCATTAGTTAATCCCCTTGCAATGTGTGCTTCTTCTGAAGTTGCAAGGGGAATAGGATTTCCTTGGACCGTTCACAGTTCCTCGAAAGTTGTTGCTCTCCAAAAGTTGTTGTTCCTCTAACATTGAGAAGGAGATGTCGAAGGAACCAGTTTTCTCTATCCGTGGGATTTACGGTACCCATTCTTCCAAACGCAGTTTCATGGCCTCTAAGACGTGCCTGTAAAACTCGAACGCCGACCGCAATACTTTATAAAAAAAAAAATTGTGCGGGCCGAAAGAAAATAGGACAGGGGGGAAGCTATGAAGAAAATAATGCTACATTTTTGTTTTCGTTACTTCCTGGGCCGCAAAGTGGGTGCTGGCGGACCGCATGAGGCCCGCGGGCTGTACGGGCAGTATGTTGTGCAGACCTGCATGGGCTGGCCCGACGGTTGCTGGCGCCCTGTGCAAGCTTAACTTTGGCGCCCCTAGGGTTGTCAGGTCTGCTTCCAAAAAAAGTAGCGGGCAGCCGCCGGGGGGGGGGGAGTAGTAATTAAGTAGTAGTTAAGTCTCAGTCTAACTTATGAAAAAAAATGACACAACGCGATTCTCCTATCCTTATTCTCTTAGACGGTACAGCTTTAGATTACGTACCATTTCATCATAAAGCTTTTGAATTTTAAAAAATGTCCACTATTTTGTGAAAAAAAAATAGTGAACATTATGTGGAAAAAGCGGACTGTCCGCTCAAATAGTGGACACCTGGCAACTTTAGGCTCCCCTTATAAGTGTAATCATTAAAGGAAAGAACGAGTTATTCGGGAATGAGTTTATTACCTATGTTGAACTGTTCATTGAACATAGGGAATAAACTCATTAACGAATGACTCGCTTTTTCCTTTAATGATTATACTTATAAGGGGCGCCAAAGTTAAGCCTTAGGTAAACTTTCACCCTGTACCAAGCACCCGTTCGGCGCCCCTTTCCCTGCACCCCTTTTTCCGATTGCGATACACTTTTTCTGCTTTGCGTTTGCGATTTTGCTTTTTGTTCCCCATATTCTTTCTGCTGAAATAATTGTAAGGGGGAACAAGGAAATACGGTATTAATAAATTAATTTCCACGCACTTTCGGTTGGTCTCAACCGCAGTGCTAGTATCCAAATTAAGAATGCAACTTTCATTATATGAAAACTCATTGTATGAAAAGCGATTTTACGAAAAGTTAGAAATACCGTTTCTCGACCCCGGACCCGAGTTTCACACTTCACTATAATAAAATAAAGGAATTTAAATATTTATTATGCCCACGGCCCACGGCCCCCTGTGCGAGGGAACAGGTCGCACACCATAAAGGCCGGCCCTGGACCTGCTCTAAGACGTGGTTTCTATTTTGAATTATTGTTGTTATCCCAGGTATAGTTTTCGGGAATTTCACTATTTACTATATGCTCTCAGGCATTAGGGTCTTCCTGATTAAGTTGGCCAAGAGCTTCGTGCTCAGTACCGCTTCTGCAGATTGTTTGTCCTGATTAAGTTTACACCACGACATGTTTGTCCTGATTAAGTTTACACCACGACATGTTTGTCCTGATTAAGTTTTCAAAACGACATGTTTGTCCTGATTAAGTTTACACAACGACATGTTTGTCCTGATTAAGTTTACACCACGACATGTTTGTCCTGATTAAGTTTACACCACGACATGTTTGTCCTGATTAAGTTTACACCACGACATGTTTGTCCTGATTAAGTTTACACCACGACATGTTTGTCCTGATTAAGTTTACACCACGACATGTTTGTCCTGATTAAGTTTACACCACGACAGAAGTTTGGATTTGGTGGCTTTTTTTAACAGCTTAAGTTCCCTTGCCTGTATGCTTGTCCTCAAGGTGACATTTAATCTTTCCGCATGATCAGTGTTATGGCCACCACCCTTTGTTTTGTTTTGATATTGACGTCACAAGTATTTACCCACCCCTTCCTTGATTAGGAAAATTATGTTGACGTTAGAATACGTTCGATTTGTTCAAAAGATTGCTATCAGATGACGCAATTTACAGAACCATTTTTCTGTATGGCATGATTTTAAAAAATAGATTTCCTAGCCGATAGAGATTGTTGCTAATCTTCCTAGACATTTAAGAGACGTTATCTAATTTGCAAGATTGTACTCTTTATGTGTTTGTGTAAATTGATTTTAGTATATTTCGAGGATTGTACATTTTCAGTTGCTGTAAGTTTATTTATTTATTTATAGCCTACTTGTTGTAAATTTTAATTTTTAATTTATAGAAATTTAATGGTATAATTAAATTAAATATTGTTAGTTTGACTAGCTTTGGTCTCGTTTTCGTTGTGTTCTTTGTATATTTGTTTTCAGTCATTTGTTGCGCATTATTCATTCTACGACCCAAATCTTAAACATGTTTTCCCTCTGCCACCAATAACTGATTGGCGTCTGTCCGGTGATTCGTAACCATATTATCTTACGGACACAAATCGTGCTCACAAGACGTTTAACGATGCCAATATATTTTTTTCCAAAACAATTTTATAAGTAAACTCATAGTTATAGTTTTGCCAACAGATTCGGTTCATGACATGTGCTTGCTATTAATCCAGTATATCACCTAACAGGGGGGGGGGGGGGTTAGAAAATTTAAACGATCAACTTTTATTGCAGTCGGCACCAAATCTAAGAGTGGCAGGGGGGTCATCTAAAAGTCAGATGACTCACACTTGGGCAGCAGCAGCATGGGTTAATGGGGGTCACATGACCCCCCTTCCCCCCACCCACGTAATATTTGATTTGATTGAATACTTATATAGCGCTAAGTCTCCATGCTATTTTAGCATGCTCACTGCGCTCTCAGTGATGGCATCCGGGGCGTCGCAGAGGTTGTCGGAGTGATTCATTGTTTCGATGTTTGCCGCCTGTAGGGGACGCCATCTCGGGGTTTGAATTTAGAGTTTCCTCCTCTTAGATGATTTGTCGACCAAGGCTTTTAACGAACAACACCCACCCCCACTCCACCCACACACCCCACACCGTTTTCCCGTTCCAGGATTCGCCACTTCGCACCGGTTCAGCAGAATACATTATTTTCGTTTTGCGTTCCGTTATCAGGGTTCTCTTAGCGGTGAGCTGATGGGCCCCAATTTAGATATCACAAATTAATCTTCCTTATCAATGATCTTCTTTTTAACGCCCATTGGCGCGACATCGGAATCTAAAGTGCCAGTAATAATATTCAGACCATCCATAGGTGAAAAAAAAAAATGATTAGCAGTATAATAGGCCTACGTGTAGGGAGGGGTATTAAGAGCTCACGCTCGACGGCA